CCCCATCGACGGTGTCTGCCCTGCCATTAAACGAAAATACTCCCACCTTTAGACAACAAGGTTTTCGTGTGATTGAGAGCGAATTTTCTGATTGAAAGCGAGATTGCGCGATGCGCTGGAGCTGGACTACCGATGAGAGGTGGAGCTTGCTGCGTGACTTGAATTGAAGGCCTAGGCCGTAGCTACAAGCCGATACCCTGGTCATCCTGTGGGCGTCTCTCGTTGTGGAGCTACAGCGGGGAGCAGAATATACAGCAGAGCTCACCGCCCGCGATCAAATCGCCTTGAAACAGTTTGAGGCAGGAATAGCCAATCTGGGGAAATCTAGCAACTTGTCTAGCGCCTAGCTGCAGCATCCGATCGCGATGACACGCATATGCTCGTGACGCTGCTGATGAGACCTTCAATTTGCGCTGCTTCTTGGAAGAGCCCGCCCCCTACTTCCCAAGAAATGGCAAGAGGCGTCTGGACCCGAAATTTCAATTTTTTTGGCTCCCGCTCTCAATCGTATACTCCGCTCTCAATCAGGCGAAAACCCTGTTTAACGCGGCTGCTTGTACAATGCCGAAGCTTGCAAGCGACGAGGCTTGAACCTTTTGAGGGCGCCGATCTCCAACCCTCAAGAAAGTGAAGGGATGCTGCCGAGCGGACACACTAACCCATGCCCTGTCTCCAATCACGAGAGAGCACAACATAGTACTGCGATAGATGATTGCGGACACACTGTCTTTACGTCGCCCCCTATGTCTTCCTCCAACGCTTTTGGGGGGAAATGTGATTTTCACCGTTATCCCGCAACATAGGGTTTGATGTTTTCAGCCGGGGCCGACATGTCCATCATCACTTGGTACCCTCCCCGCGAAACGGGCACCTCTGGACGAACCTCGGCATCGCCCCCATCCCCGCACGACGAGGAGCAAACACGCCTACGGCGTCATAACTCCGGGAGCACCGAAGAGCCATCCCCGGCGCTTCTGGCGCCTCCTAGCCCTGCCCCTGCGCTGGCATCAAACGAAGGCGGTATCCGAACCGGGGTGAAGCACGAGAACGACCCGGGAGTAGTGGTGCATGTGGCAGAGGTTATCGGCATCGCAGTGGTTCCGGGAGCTCTGGTTTCGGCGGATGCGGCGGGGAGGCTGCTCGAGCGGGGACCTAGCAGACATATCGGTGAGCCAGCCCCTCGCGTGTGGCACCTGTAAGCTGCTATCCGGTGCACAGATATCTTTAAATCAAAGCTGGTTAGCCAATCAAACCGGGAGAGTCTGTCACACACGAAAGCGGGGTCGCCGAAAACAGCAAGCCGTGGTTATTGGTGTCTTCATGTTGTGACTGCCGAGAGAGATTTGTGGATGCTGCCATCAACGCTTCTGATGTTCGTTGAAATAGTCACTGTGGAAAAGCAAAAAGGCACCATATAATCCATCGGCGGGAGGATGGCCACCACACGACAATACCGGTATCGAGAAGAATGTCGTCCCTCCGCGCTTGGTCCCCTCAGAACGTCATTGCAGGCAGATCCTACCGAGCGATGAGGCTATTCAAAGACTGCGGCCGCTTGCCCTGGAGGTGCTCCGAACAAGGGCTCACGCGAGGCGTACGACCCCCGCGCACGGGGGAGGCGCCGCAGCTGGTGCAGCAGCGGCTACGACTGCCGGCACTAATACCGCCGTTGTGGCACAGGTAGGCACGGGTAGCTTGAAAGTGCTCAAGTGGGTGGGTCTAAAGCCGGAAGGCGCCGAAGTTACTAGAAATGCTGTCGACTAAGCTTGTGAACATTGGTGTATGCTGCTGAAATTATGCGCGGAGCAATTGCGTAGGCGAGCGATCTTGCCCCCCCTAACGACGAGTACCGTGAGGTTGCGAGTCAGCGTACAGGGGTGCGATCGATTTTCAAAGGGTAATTTCTCCACAACCAGGATGGTGCGAGCACCAACCAACTGATACTTCTCAGGAAAGCTCTCGATGCGATATTTCCAAAACCGCCCTTTTCGACAGTGGTAACCTCCTGGTCGTGGAGAAATTACGCTTTGAAAAATCGTTCGCATCCCTGTGCGCTGACTCGCAACCTTACGGTACCCGCCCCGTGGCAGGCTGTCCAGGACCACCTCCGCGCGGTACGGTTCCTTCTGAGGGCAAAAGCGAAGCGCCGCGTCAAGGAGGAGATTCGCGTTGAGAAACAGAAGGCGGCCGACCTCCACACCGCGGCGATATTCGCGTCGAGGCTGGGTCAACAAGCGGGGCGGCCTATGCTCGGGGCCAGGAGGGCGCCGAGGGACTCGGCGTCTAGTGATAGGAGTTCTGTGTCCGAGACGTGAGAGGATGTTATTAGGTCATGGAGTGTTGGCGGTGTTGCACACCCTTGGGGCGGATGAGGGAGCGGAGGGTCACTTCGTCTACGCCTAAGTGAACCGTTTTGGTGCGAAACGTAGATTTCTTGCCGTTTCATGTGCCGAAACAAAAAAATAACACATTCATTGACCGTCGGAGACGATATAGAAACTCCATTCATGGGGAGTTGACTGACAAGTTCCACAAGAGCTTATGCGAACATTTTCTCACCCTGGATGGGTTGCAAACGTACGAAGCGGTCGAGGTTAGTTTTGGTTTCCGGTTGTCACCATGGAAATCCTTCACCCTCGTCGTTCTTCAACGTTGTGTAATGCGCCACCCATGCCTCCGACGGCAGATTCGTACGAGCACGACGGCGCTCAATATTGAGCAGCGTCTCCATGCGGTCCGTCGCACGCCAAGACGGGGAAGGTATTTCGCAGGTGGGCGAAACAAATCCGGGACCATGAATGTCTCGTGGAGTTTTTCTAGCTAACTAATCTTGTGAGGGGTACTTTCATATGCGTGTATTCTCAAATCGCGTAAATACGTGGGATGTTTTGGCCAGTTGAAGGAGCGAACGTCGGAATAACGTTGAGCGTGGTTCACGACGGCTTGGGGTCAGCGGCTAGGCTGCAATATAGTGATTGTGCATACTGCTTATCGAGAGGCAACAAAAACATGTTAGCCTTTGCCTTCGTGCGCGCCGGACGTATGCTCACATGAGGCTGTCCCGTGCTCTCGAACATTGACAAGCAGGAGGCGGCCGATGTGAGCAAGCTTGCAGACATGGACCAGAAGCCAGCTTTCCTAGAAACGGCAGACCTCGAACGGCTGGTGAAGAATCCCGATGTGAGCAATCGCGGCACACCGCTACCATGACTCCGCAAGCGTTGTCGGCAGATCACGCACTGATTACCTATCATCCTGCGTTTGGGATGTATAGTGTAGAGTTAAGGGTATGGGTTAGCTTCCTTCCGATCGCGTTGTGCGGAAACCAGCTTCCGATGTAGGGCGGTACACATCCTGAACAGAAGCGTTGTGGGAAGATGATGTTTTGAAAGCAAGAGGACGCAGCGGCAGCATACCCACGCAGTCACAAGGGAGAGCACACTTCCCGAAATCCACTTGGTCTATTGTCTCCGGTTGCTCACGATGGAGACACCCTTTCGTTCGTATGTTGCTTCCCTCAGATCTACCTGGCGGAACTCATGAGACACTTTTTCCCAGGCAGAGACTTAGCTCCATCCCGCCCCCCCGGATCGCGAGAGGCAGCAGCCGATACGAGGTCTGCCGCAGAACGAATCGCCCGCAGCATAGCCGGCGGAAGTGGAAAACACCCGTCCACGTCAGACAGCGTCAAGGTTAAGGGTAAGGGCATCAAAAAGAAACGGTTTCCAGCCGCAGCGACGAACTTTTCGTCGACGATCGATGCCGCAAGAAGGGGGGCCATGCGAATGCACGCCCGGTCACATCCAAGCGAAGCCTCTCGATCTAGCTCGGATGGCGGAGGAAGCGGCGAAGGAGAAGACGTTGTAACAGGAGATAAAGAAGTCCACGATGACCTACAATTTGGCCACATGGAAGGATCGTTGGTAAAAACGGGGACTGCTCTTGAGCAACGCAACTTAGGGGCGCTCCTACGACGCGCTACTAGAACTAACAGGGAAGACATTGACACGAACCATGCCGCCCAAGAACCGGCGGTCGTCGCAGGGAAAGGGGAAGAGGGGGAGGAGGAGAAAGAGGAGGGCACACAGGAGGAGAAACCCAGGCCGCACGCCCTTGAACCTGATAGCAATAACGTCAAGCCAGGGTTAGAGTCGTCGGCGTCTCCAAACTCGAACGAAGACCGGAATGGTACATCTACAAGGGCAGGTTCCGCTGACCACAAGCCTGAGGAAAGAACACACCAACGGGGAGGGGCTGGTTCTGCCATCGACCAAAGCAGCGCCGGCCAAGACGCCGACACCTCATTCGTTGGGGACAACTATAGCACGACCCAGATGCGACGAAAGGGCTGCTTGACCGTTTTCGTGCCGCATTCGCCGAGCCCCGGAGTGTGGGCCGCCAGCGTAGAGTACGACGGTGAACGCGACGTGGCGTGGGTCTTAGCCGAGGCTCTTCGGATGTATGCAAGCGAACACAGTCCTGTGGCGCGGCACGCGGGGTTAGCACGCAGGCCTCGACTTATCGAGCGCTCTCGCACTCGATGGGGGCTGTTTCAAGGGAACGGCCAGGAGTCATGGGAACAGGGACCGGTTTTATCCGCGGCGGCCCCCGTGCTCTCTGTGTTACGACCAGGGGAGGAGTTGGTAGTGCTAGTAGAAGGGTTCGATCCTGCAGCCGCGTTTGCTAGGCGACCATCGGTAGTTGCCTTACCGCCAGTTCGAAAGGATACAGCACCAGGCGCCTCGACAAGGATCAAGGCTGACCGCGACGGATCACTTTCGTTGCCAGCCCCACCCGTGGACGACGCTGCATCTATGCGCGACGATGCCCTTTCTGATGCGTCGAGGGCACCCAGCGATGGCGCCAGGAGGTTCGCGGGTATCAGCGAGCCAGAGGCTGCCGACGCCTCCATCCGTGTGTCAGCGACACACCCCCCCGGCGGTGGTGATAGCCGTGGTGGCGCCGCCGACTCTCTCTCCGCCACGGGAGACGACCATGTACCGGGAGCAGCTACACGTGTCGCGAACGGTCCTGCAATGGTCGAAGATATCAAAAGCGGCGCATACTACCGCGGTCGGAATTCCAAATATCTCGGCGACGAAAACGCTTACGTGTATAGTAGTGATGATTCGCTCACGGACGGGGAAGACGAAGAGAAACATGACGACGACGACGACGACGACGACGACGACGAGGGCTACTACCACCACCAGAACCCCTACTACGGGGCGGGTGATGCCGCACGTCGACCAATCGGGGGACACAACTCGTTCGGGCGAAACAGCCCTCCACAAAGCAGGCTAGTAATAGACGCCTCTGTCACGACTAGAGGAATAACGGAGAGGTGTGAAAACGACAATAGTGGGGGCGGAGGGTCACGATCACGTGGGCTGGGCAGCGTGACTGCTGGCGGAGGGCGCCGCCATGAGCGGCAGGCGGGAGATGGGTTTCCGCAGGATAGATCTCCGCCTCGTTCCTTGGTGGCACGCATGTACGCAGCTTGGGGGGAAGCCAACCGGTGACACCTCTTTCTTCGGCCGGGAATAGACAGCCGTGCTGTCCAACAATACCGTGTGCACTTAGTTTCACACCAAGTACGGGATTTTGATGAATGTTCGTGCCGAGCACTCCCGCGCATGGTGTGTTCTTTGTCACAGAGGACACCGAACGAAGTGGATATAGTCTACGCTTCTAACTACATTAACATTTTCCTAGTCTGACGTGTTCAACGTGTTCGAACCCAAATTCCCGAGGTCCTGGGTAACCAACGGCCCCGATTGGCAGCACTTGGCGTACTCACGTGTATCGTTCACGAGACCAACTGCATCATAGGCCGCGGATGTAACAACCAACCCCTCTTTACTCCGGACCAGAGATCAAAGGGTACATTACTACAGCGTGTACTCTCGGCATACATCTCGCCGGTGCCGCGGTGTGAATCGCAGGCAAGACGCGGAAACAGGAGAAAGGAAACTGCGTCGTCGTCGTGGGTACACAACGGCTGGCGCCTCCATTGCAGAAATGGGCTCCCTCCACGTGGAGCGCGAACCCGAGGGATCCCCTCTAACTCGCGCGCACCCGCATGCTCCAAACCCTCCGAAAATGACGCAAGTCCCCCAATAAGCGACCCCTCCCTAATGGGACATTGCATCGACAAATGGCCCCCCATGGACTCAACGGCAACCGCGTGGAGGAGGCCACAAGGTGCCAAACGTGCGCATCGATGCACATCGGGCGGCATTGCTCTTCGCCACTCGCAACATAGTCAATAATATTTGTACACCTGATTGAAGTATCCAGTACAAGGCCAAGACATCGGAGGGCTGACCACCGCAAATCAAGTCAAGCCCGGGAGTGACCACCCCCGAAAACCAGCAAGCGACGACGGTTCTCCCTAGGACATTTAAAGTATGCAAAACGCAACGAGCACATTCTGAAGATCCAGCCTACATATCTTGGCGCCGTTCAGCACTATCTATATACATGAAATAAGCGCCGCCTAGGCCCCAAAGCTCCAAGCGCGTAGTATGTAGGTTGTTCGCCCCCATCTGCATTGGTCTGCACGGGGGCGACAGGGTCAACCGACATCTATCTTGAGTGCGGCCTCGAAATCCCTTGAACCCCCCCCAGCGTATCACTCCGTTCCGGCGTTGTAGGGATGCCAAGTCAATGGTCTAACGACTATAGCATGCGTTTATATGAGTACCCCCCCCAGCATATGTCTTCAGCAACTAAACGGTACAATCTACGCAGGTAGGAACATCATTGGCCAACTATAAGTGTCCACACAAGGCACCCTGACATAACCTGAACCTAAAACAAATGTCCGCCGTTTGTGACCTCCCGGTATACAACCAGACAGATCAATATCGACAGAAGCGCTATCGTCAAGTACAGGCAGATCTTCTGCCTAAAAGCCTTCTGTTCCATCTCCTGCAGGTGCAAACGCGCCTCGTCCGTCATGCCTCGCATGTCCCCCAACTGAGGCGAAAACAAAAAAGGGAAACGAGCGGAATAAACTCGCGGAAACCAAAACTTTTCCTTGCGCACGCAACGGCACCTCTCGGGGGTGAATTAAACGCAACAAGTCTACGTTCCCATCCATGTCTGGATCCGGCGAAGCAGAATGTGCCCCGCGGATATAATTACGTAACACCCACACGTGTGATAATAGCGTGTGATTTGGACACGACAGTAAATTTGGTACAAAGCACTGTGCCAGGATGTACAAGTCGGCGTTTGTACACTCCACATTTACAAGTAAGTTGGATGGAAACCATTCGGAAACGCAAATAGTGAAGCCCCCCCTTGCCCCGACAGGTCTACCTCCGGACGAGTACGGACGACACGGAAGACAGAGCAGGTTCTCACCCTCTGTTGTGCCGACTCCAGCGTCTCTCGCTGCCCGAATAATCTTGCCATCACGTCGTCCGCCATGTTGGAAGTTTCGTTTTGCACCTTTTTGTTTTTCGTCGCGGGCGTGCAGGGGTGTGTGTGTGTGCTCATAGTCGTGCATGCCGTAGTCGTTAGACCATTGACCTCGCATCACTACAAATCCGGGACGAAGCACGAAGGGTTCTCACCGGACCAGGTTCTCACCGGACCAGGCTCTCACATCACCAAGCGCGAAGTACCGTGAGGTGTTAGGCGAGTCGCATGAAGGGTGCGCTGCATACTGCCAAGGGTGTTCGGCACCTTGTGCTTACGTCCTTGCGTACGATAGCTGCGTATGACATAATTTATTTTCTGGTGCTCTCACTTCCCGAGACAGTTTTATAAGCATTGTGTAACTGCCTCGAGGGTGCTAGACCATTTAAACACAACATGGTGCCATCATCCCCTTTGCGCGGAGTGAGGGTTCTCGACCCTGCACAACATAATCTACTCGACCACCATTCACGGTTACCGCA